CGGTTTGTCATCTTACGTACGATACCGTACAGACCTAGTAGGGAACTCGTACGGTACGAAGTTTTCACAACCTACTAGTCGCACTTTAATGTAACRTCTAGTCTAATCGTTTTCGATTACAGTACGGTACATACGAGCAATAATAACGTAAAGTACATAAAAGTCGTACGTACCCTCATGACCCCTGCCGGTACGTACGACCGGTACTATGGAAGTCTATTTTTCTACTGTATKTTCTCACTACAACAAACTTTTCTTCACACCCAACAACCATGTTCTAGTAGGATTTCATGCATACTGTACGAAGTTTCATTGACATACTGTACCGTACAGGACGTACGTAGGAGATAGGAGAGCACGTTTGGAACCTTTTTTGATTAGATCGCTTCATACTGTACGGTACGGTACGTACGGTAGGTATCGTACGATACTGAAACATGTTTTTTCGATTTTTGACCACTCATCTCAATCGCGGTGGCTCTCAGATTTCGATTATTCTGTAGAACCAACCGGGTCTAGTTTCTTGTAAGCACTCGTACTGTTGTTTGGTTCGGTGTCATCCTTCGTTTTCAGATCCTTCKCGAGTCCTCTACTCCRTTCACTTTTCCCGTAAAAGGAAGTGATGAATAGGCAGAAAGCTGAAGAAACCAATATAAGCTAGAGTCAAAATTGAATTAGACTTGGACGAATGACGATAATAGAAGAACAAACCCCTAGCGAGAGTGTGGTCRCTACTGCAACCCCCGGCACGAATACGAACCCATTGGAAGCAAAGCCCCTCGACAAAGCCAATCCGGTCACCGCAAACCCACACATTCCWTCCGTATCGGCATCGGCCGTTTTGGGAGAGAGTTCCTCTATGCCGGAAGGCACCCCAATTTGCAAGGGTGTTGAATTTGATCACGAAACAAATGCAACGGACGGTGGCGATGGCGATATGCTGGCGCAAATCATGAAAGCCTTTCGTCATACGGGATTTCARGCAACCAATCTTGGCTTGGCCGTGGAACAGATTGAAGAAATGCGCAAGTGGCGTCTCAGTCACGTCCCGTTCAAAGAAGGAGTGGACGATCCCGAATTACGTTCCGAAGAAACCCGGAAACGGTTGCGGGCCCGTATTTTCTTGTCTTACACGTCCAATCAGATTTCGTGCGGACAGCGAGAGGTCTTGCGCTTTCTGGTTCAACACAGAATGGTAGATTGCATTGTAACAACGGCCGGTGGAATCGAGGAGGATCTCATGAAATGCTTCGAGCCAACTTTCATGGGGGATTTTAAACTWGATGGTCGAAGCCTTCGCAAGAAGGGAATAAATCGAATCGGTAAGTTGAGAAACCACTCCTCCCCACACCGTCGCCGTTCCACTATGGTCAAAAACGTACTTACCATGTCGCTGTGACTTAATTTTGCCGAAGGAAATTTGCTGGTTCCGAACAAAAACTACTGTAAGTTTGAAGACTGGGTCAGTCCTATAATCGGAAAAATGCACGACGAGCAAGACGAAAAGATGCTCGAATGGGCTCGTGCCGTGGCAAAACTCGACTCCACCGAAAACTTTCCTGAAAAATTCGCTTGGACTCCCTCCAAATTCATTCATCGYCTCGGCGTCGAAATCGACAACGAAGATAGCGTCCTGTATTGGGCTGCCAAAAACGATATTCCCGTATTCTGCCCCGCCTTGACAGATGGAAGCGTCGGAGATATGTTGTACTTCCACTCTTACAAAAGGCCAGGGTTTATTTTGGACATCAACGAGGATATCCGTCGGATCAATGACTTGGCGGTTCGTACCTACGCTAGCGGTATGATCATTCTTGGTGGGGGCCTCGTCAAACACCATACCTGCAATGCAAATCTGATGCGGAATGGCGCAGACTGGTCTGTGTATATCAATACAGGGCAGGAGTTCGATGGAAGCGACAGCGGTGCATCTCCCGACGAGGCAATCAGTTGGGGAAAGATACGAATCACTGCAAAGCCTGTCAAGGTATCCTGCGATGCAACCATCGCATTTCCCTTGATCGTAAGCCAAACGTTTGCAAAGAATGTGAAACAATGGAAGGAGGATATGATAGGCACTGCATGTTTCATTGATGACCTAAAATCAGAGTAAATAGTTTTTGKTTATCTGCGATGTTATTTAGAATAAGTGTGACTTCTCGTACCTTGATTGCACTTCTTTTTAGCCATCTAATCTGTCTGAGGTCTAAGAATTTGCTACACTTCATTCATAGTGCGGTGAGAAAATTCAGAATCACTTTCAGTAGACGATTAATCTCGATAGTCCAAAGCGGAACCAGATCCTGAATATTTATTGCTTCTATTATTTAATACACTTAATAAATATACTGAAAAAATTCCATTTCAGACCAATGTTTTGCCTCATCCACGAAAAAAAAGAAATTGATAGATGCGGAATTGGCGAAGACCTTATTAAATTTACTTGCTACCACAACATTAAATTGATCAAATATCCTGGTAACCTAGTACTGCGTTACCCCAGTGCAGTTTTCCTTTCTGTACTCCGTGTGCTTCCTTCTTTGCGTGCCTCCATGGCATTCATAAAGACGAAGGACAATTATTCCCCGATGTGCAACACTTGCAAAAAACGTTGTTACAATCAGCCTCGATTAAACTAATTCCGTCACCTTTACACAATTCATTCAGAGACCCACTCAATAAYGTATTGCCGTATAGAATAAGCTCATCCAAATTGGACATACGTCGCAACATGTTTTCTGGAATTTCGCCTCGAAGCTTATTGTTGGCAAGGTTAAGCGTTCTCAGCTTGGGRAAAAACAGTCCACTGCCCCTGGATAGTTGTGGGAATAGCATATCTATCGATCCTTCAAACTTATTATCAGAGAGATCTAGTAAAGTAACGGATGGCATCGAATGCAACCAAATTGGTAATTCTCCAGCAAAATTATTTCCTTTGAAGTCAAGCTCCTCTAAACTCGACAAATTAGAAAYGCAAGACGGCAGCTCCACCTTGTTTCCACTCAATTTAAGATATTGCAGGCCCTCTATGAGACAAAAGTCCTCTGGAATTCTCCCATGGAGATTGTTCTTGTCTGTGCAAGTGATGGAAACGAAATGGCATCACATTAGATAATAGAAATTTACAGATSGAGAAAAAGTGCACGATTCTATCGAGGATCAATTGAGAGTTCCTTTCTTTCCATCATTACAAACTAAGRGTCTTACCTAGATCGATCCGTCTGACTAGAGATTTCTGACAAGTGACACCGGTCCAATCTTCACATTCGCCACTGGGAGTTGCCCATCCGTCGGTGCTCGTCCAAGAGCCACCATCGGTTCCAAAATAGAAGACGAGGAGAGCATACCGTTGCAAATCAAGATAATCTATCGACCGTGTAGTTGGAGATTTTTGGGTTTCGAATTCTTCGACCAAAACATTGAAGGCTTTGCCTTCCGGTGTATCCGTGTCAAGCAGAGCCGCCGGGTTGTGGACGATCGCTTTGAGTTGATAGTAAATATCTGGCATCGACTCTGGTTCGAGAATGATTGCACCCCCTTCGACGTCACCCTCATTTTCCATTCTTTCCTCGCTCTGTAAACTACCCTCTATGCTATCGATCGATTGGGAAGAATTCTCCCGGTCGTTTGAATTTTTCTGTTTCGTCAGCACTACAGAGAGGACAATGACAATTATCCCAATCATTAGAGAAACAARAGCAATCCAAGCGACCCGTCTTCGTCTATTTTTCGCTGTTGCGATAGAAAAGTTGCTATTGTAGTCTATAGATCCATCGCTTGGCAGCGTGTGCTCGACAAAAACCTCAYTTTCCGGTGATAAAGCCAACGAATCCGCCGCTGCCAGCGATTTTTCCGAGTAGTAACTATCGTTGATATCCGTTCCCTGAYCATCCTCAAGAACCCAAGGGTCTGAGTAGACCGTTTTTTCGCCCCTCATTATTGCGGCCCGTCTTCGATTCGATGAATATTATTTGATTTCGAATCGGCAATGTGGTTTAATGGATGGGTTGTTAACTTGTGTTCGGTTCTCGTCGATGATCTTTATTAACTACTAATAGTACGAGTACCACAATCCATTTGCTAACCCCTTTTGAATTATTGAGTTGGAGTGGTAGGTCTCACGTGGGAGTGAGAATGGAATTGGATAGCATGAGCACAAGTATGACCATTTTACCTATGGCACGACAGTTATCTCATTTAGGCGCGCCCAAACGGATAACAGAACCGTTGTGACATGTCTTATGTTTCACCCGAATGAAAGCCAATCCGGTATTCTCAAAATGTAAGGTTTTAGGCGCCAAWTTTGGCGACAGAGCTCGCGTTTCTAAACCATAAATAGAATCTTTTGTACAGTATTGTGCCTGAAAAAAAGGGGGGGGAGGTGCGGTCTTCGAGTGATGGAGCTCGTAGACAGTCCATCAGGTTTTTTGTTTTCCGGTTTTTCCTTACACCAATAGTACTAGTAATAGTACGGTACTACTACTAGTACTAGTAGTACATCTAGAACTATTGCAATGTTTTGTAAAAAAACACCATGCTTCTTTTGTTACATGAAGATGATGACATTTATTCATTATTGGGTAATTCCCAATAACCCAGCAGGCACCTAGATCTAGTCCCAGCAGTAGGTTCTTTCTTGCTTGTTCTTGGTGAGCTGGGGTTGGTGGGGTTGGGGTTGGGGTTGGGGTTGGGGTTGAACAGCTGTGACTAGTACTAGTACTAGTAGAAGTGGTATTAATATATAATATAGTAGTACCTAGCAAACCACTCAGACTAGTAGCAGCACAGTTTCAACAGCAAGAAGTGGTGCTAGCATTCCTACTAGTAGCTGGTACTACTACTAGTATATCAAAAAGACTCCTCTATTTGAATAAGAGCTTGTTTTGTTCTAGTACTACTAGTAACCTTACTACTAGTACTACTAGTACTTCTTGTTGGGCTCCCCTCATCTTCAAGAAAAAATTGAATAATGCTAGGTTCTTGCTTTGGTTGTCCAGAAAATAATAGAATACATTAATGTACTAGCTAGTACTACTAATAGTAGTAGTACTAGTACTCCTCTCTGCTATACTTTTACAACAGCAGGTAGTATCATTGCTGGTGGGCAGGCAATTCCTATTAATCTGGCTAGTAGTACTGGTAGTACCACTAGGTTAACTAGATGTGAAAGACAGACAGAAAAAAATGGTACCTAGTAGATGGACTAAATCTACTAGTCATTTTTAAAGAACCCTCAGACCCCCATTCAAAACTGACTAGATTTAGACTAGAATCCATGTGCACCCCATGTACTGATAAAATTTCAAGTCTGACATTTTTGTTTGCTGCACACCAGCATCATTGGTGCTGCTGCTGCTGCTACTAGTACTTCCTCCGTTCCCAAATGAATGTACCTATGACCCTTTTTTGCTGTTCCTAATAAATGTTCTCATTATCACAACTGTGTAGGATTGTGTGCAGTTTGTACCAGAAAACATTTAATATTCACTAGAAGTATTACTTATACTATTAACTACTTGCACTTGCACTACTACTAGTAGCTAGCAGTTGCTGACCAGCCAAGAGGCTTTTGTCATTACAGATAATGGAGATCGGGAGGGTACCTTTGCGCAAAAGACTCGCCTTTCCCATATGAGGAAGCTTGTAATTGTTATCACCTTCAGCACCAAGTGTAGCTTCCATACAAGCCTGGAGGGAAAGAAATACATTGTTCAGTGTTTCCCGCTCAGTCTCATCAAATGCCTTTTCAACGTTAGCAATCAAGTGATCGATGTCCTTTGATTGTTTCTTGTATTGCAAACTTTGAATCGAGTTGAAGAAACCAAGATCAAGCACGTTCAAATCCGGACTATTAGGAGGTTGAGTCGTAACAGAAATGTTCCAAACGTTGCTAGCTGCAGCTTCTTTGATAGCATATCCTCCTGGATAATAATCTCAGGACGGCCTTCCTCATCATTGCCTGCTCCGCGTGGCCATTTCTCGTAGATAGCAGGAAGAACCTTTTCAAGGAGCATCTTCTGGTAAACGTCACCGTTCACGTTGACAGGCTTGGTAATAAGAGTACCAGCAGGACGGTTTACAGATCTTCGCTGAGCTGGTTTCTTCTCAACAAACAGCCATATTCCAATTTTGCCATCAAACCAAGAGTTCCGGTTGGTATCCCATCGTGGTCGAGCCGTCGCGCACAAGAACATGACCTTCGTCATATGGTTCTTCGACTTGGAGGTTGACTTGGGTTCCGCTTCATCTGGGAGCAGATACGTAGTTTGCTTTGTGCGTTTCAAGTAGAACCACTTCTCGTCGATGTGGATCCACTTGAAAAAGTCGTCAAATTTTCCGTTGCTGTCAATGTGTTTCAATATCCATTCAACTCGCTTCAGCTTGTTCGCATCTGTTAGCAAAGGCTTTGTAGTTCCATTATGCTTCTTTATTTGGCCACGTTTGACAAGTTTGTGCAGAGTAGTGGTTGGAATACCAGTTGCAGCAGAAAGGGTTCTTAGATCACCTCTGTCTTTGAGTGGGACATCTCTAATTACATCAAGGTCGGACAGTGGTCTTGCTTTCCTTCCACACTTGTGTCTCCTCTTGCTAACATCACCAGCAGGGCAAGTGATTGGGTCAAATGTTTCCATGTACCTCTTCCAAATCCTTCCAACCGTTTTTCTTGTTACGCCAAACAGCTCGGCTGGTTCTTTCAAAGCTCCCTTAGGAAGGGGCTTTCCAACAGTGCTCCGTTGTTGCAAAAGGATCTGAATGATTGCTTGTCTTTGGTTGTTGGTCAAGTTCTTCTTTTTAGATGGAGAGGCTTCACTTGCAGTATCATCACTCGCGGTATCATCACTTGCAGTAGTATCGGTTGCCATAGTAGTAGTATTGCTTGCCATATTGCTTGCCGTATCATCGCTCGCCGTATCGGTTGCCGTATTGCTCGCCGTATCATTTGCTGCAGGAGTATCACTGCTGGCTTCAAGAAGCAGCTCAATTGCATTAGTTATCATCTTACAGTTAGTAGTGCTTTGGAAAGAATGAAGGGGGGGAAATGTGAGTTAAATGGTTGATTGTTGAATACCGACCGGTCGATGGATCCCCTCTTAGTGGAAGCAACGGAGACGAAACAACGGGAAGCAATGGAGACGCTTCCCCTCTTAGTGGAAACAACGGAAGCGTTTCCCCCCCCCCACTGGGGGCGCCAACAGACACGCAAAGCCCTCCCCCCCCGCCTCTTAGTGGAAGCAACGGAGACGCAATCCCCTCTTAGTGGAAGCAACAGAGACGCGGGGAGTGGAAGCAACGGAGACGTGAGCCAGCAACGGAGACGTGAGCCAGCAACGGAGACGTGAGCCAGCAATGGAGACGCGATTCCCTCTTAGTGGAAGCAATGGAGACGCGACGTGAGTCATTCTTGTTGGCGCTTCCCCCTCTTAACACGCAAGGCCCTCCCCCTCCTAGCCCGGGGAGTGGAAGCAACGGAGACGTGAGCCAGCAACGGAGACGCGATTCCCTCTTAGTGGAAGCAACGGAGAGGGGAGG